AGAGGGTTCGGTAGATGCTCGCTATCACTTTAAACTACTTCATGCGCAAGTCAGCATATCGGCACCAGCCTGTTTAGAGCATGCGGTGAACATAATCGATGGTCAAACTGTCGAATCGGCTTCCTAACTAAGAAATTAACCTTGCTCGCATTTTGTAAGACTGTGATAATCCCTGGTCTAGTCGACCTCTATAACGTCGCGGAATATATCTTTCCACGAGCGGCGATCTGTGGCAGGGGATCTGGAGAATTCAAGCCATGCGCTTCTTCAACAATTACATCCGCGTACCGGAGGTTCACGAACTACTTTTATGTCCCTGCCGACTGTTGAACCGAGTTCTTATTTGCCCCCTCTCTGTTTTCGGGGCACCGATTTGAAACCAGCTGCAGTACGTTTATGGTGCTGACAATGCAGAATCTGTGTAAATGACTTAACTCGTCTTTCGTATGTCGTCTGAAATACTCTTGCGATGTTGCCTCGGTGATCGCACGCTGTCTCGTTTGAGACGAAATCCGTCTACCGCCGCCATCGGCAATCCACTTATCACGACCAGAGAGTATTTCAGCTAGTTCTTATAGCCGAAAATAGATTTCTGTAAGTTTCAGGCCGGCACCTAGTGTTCGCACGCAGACAGATGTAGTAGAGGTGTCCGTAAAGTGCCTCCTAATTTGTATGCAAGTTAACTGACCATTGACTGGTTCCCACATAAGCAGTGCATGTCTTACTTGTTGCAAGGGGATGGTCCTACCGTCATTTCTATCAACAGTCGCATAAAATGTCTATATAGAAGTTAAGATGGAATATTTCCCTCGGGATCTTGACTTTTGAGAGCTCTAATCTGGATTCGGACTGCAGCCAGTCAACGCATATTCATGTTGTACTAATGATGACTGCGCACCGCCGGGCTTTGGGTGCCGGAATCAAAGAGTGTCTGTGTATTGCAGCATCCAATACCAAGGGCTCTTGTACATCATTGGATTAGGTTTGCCGAACACGTCGTTTCCAGTAGACCCTGTAACCTGAAAAGCATTACTTGAATCTATCGTTTTTAGTAAGTCTTGAAATTTTGTCGCCAGGTGGGTCACTGGTAACCAGTCAGATTGCTTTCTCTTTTTTCGGTGTTGCCTCTGGCACTTCCAGCCCAAGAACGAACTTGCAAAATAGCGGTTGAAAAAAAGAGCTTATTTGATGGCGGTTCACGGTCGCTATATTGCTGTACTGCCATCGGGCTTTGCAGCATTAAGCGGTGTTCCACACACAGTTGTGGCTGGCCTACACGTGCCTAGTTGTCTTACTCGACAGCTCGATTAGGCTGCCACTGACAATCATTCCACTGTCCACTATCTCTGGCCCATGTGTTGTCAACGGGTACCCTCTCCTTCCAGTTCCGTCCCTATTGTATAATTAGTTTCATCTGCGCACCTGGCGAGCCATGATTTGAATGTACTGGAGATGCCATTTTTGGTTAAATTCGCCTTACTGGAATCTGCAGGAAGAACTGATTGCTAATGAGGCTGCTGGGAACGTTTAAGCAGCCGCCTTCGTAAATTCCTCGCTTTAAACTCTCTCTGTCCGCTAAGCAGTTCCTGTTCTTTCTTTTGCAGATGAGAAGGCCCGTTGGCTTGTCAATGTTCAGTGGAATATGCGGGGTCTGGACGTCCACATGGACCACAATATTGGCCGACGTCTCAAGTCCCTCTTCGTCACGCTCACCTCAATGGCCGGTTACGACGGTCGGGCTCCGTACGCGCAGACCTCCACAGAGGAGGAGACGACGATGGTGGCACCGACCGCAGCAGAAGCCGCAACAGCTGCTGGAGAGACATCTTCGGACGCACACTGCCGGCACTCGTCGGCTTCGCACTCCGCGATACATTCACACAGATCAAGCGCCTTTGGGGCGGTCTCCATGGATCGCCTCTACTTGGACGAGTAAGTCGTCGTCTTCTTTTCCTTTGCCCTGCTTCTACGACTGCCGCTTATGTCCCCTTTTTGTTTCATGTTTGGTCGTTGTAGTAAGGGCGAATTTCCGGACGGTAGTCTCTGTTATCACTTTTTTCGAATAAACAGAGCTCGTGCTCTCTTGGATGTACTAAAAGTAATGCCATTTGATATTTCTCGCGGCTCCAGGCAGGACTGTCGTTACTTTGATGTTCTTCTTCTCTCTCCCCCCTCTAGACAACACAGTGGTGACCTACAGACTGCCGAGGCACAGAGACACAAGTTAGAGGCGCAGTACTGTAGCTCCTACAAGCGCATGAAGTGGGACAATCTTCGCAAGCGAACAAGTGTACTGGTTCGTCTGCCATTACTGTCTTTTGTCTGCTAGAATTCCCTTTGCCCGCTTGCCAAATTATGCGGCCTTAGTGTGGTATCGCGTGTTCTTTTGCTTATTCTTCTGAGGAGGTAGATCCTTTTTGATCCGCACAGCCCAGGTCCGCACACGCTTGTTTAGCGAACCTGTAAGCCACTACACGTCTGCATTGTTGCATGCGGATTTCGTTCTACTGTAGTTTCGATTCCTCTCACCCCAATTCCTGCTTGGATGCAGTTGCCGTTCGAATTTTCCTCAAAATATGCACTTTTCCGGAATAGAGGCTCCTGTCACTATTTTTTCCCCGGTAAGTCACCAGCATGCGAGGTATAAATAATATACAATACAGTGACATATATGTGTCATCTCAATCTTTGCACCCTGTTTATGGAACTCCTTTGACGATTTTCTTCGCACAGTTTATAAGCTAAGGCCTATTTTTCCCTCAGAAGGGGACCTTCTTTCTCCTGCGAATCAATAAAATCTCCCTTTTTCGTGTGTTTTTTCTTTTGTTTCATCTGCCCTTCATCTGACTTTAGGGTATCCCCTCCGGCCGGTTGCGTCGTTCGGGTTCTCTGATTGCCAGTTCGAAAGAACACTCCAAACGGTCGGATCCTTCGCAAATGGGGTCTTCTGTAAGGTGTGTGATACAAGCCTTCAAGTGGTCCACTTTTCGTCTTTTTGATCTGGCTTTATTTTCATCTGAAGTATTGGTCTCCGGCAGTTTGCCTCTGCTTGGACCATTTCAGTCTCGTTAACAACTTCCGTGTGTGCTTGGCGTGGTAGATGCGCTGGACCAAGAAGGGGGCCCGCTCGGGGTACGGCAAGCGTTATTCGGATTGCGCACCGATAAAAAAAAACATCTAACATGGGAAGGGGGGGTACTCATAGGGGCGGCTTCGGCCACGCCAGCAACCCGCGCTCGATTCCGCCTCTAGTCTTTTTGACTGTACCTTGACGCCAGGCTCAGCTGGGTGGGGGAGGAGAGAGAGTGTGTGTGTGTGTGCGGTAGATGCTGTGCAAGTCTACTATCACTTGAAATTAATTCACACGAAAGTCACCATCCCTGCAGCACCCTATTGTGGAGCGTACAGTGGGCATATTCGAAATCGACGGTTGAACTGTCGTCAGAGGTGCCCCTTCAAGCAACTTTTAGTATTTGTCGCAACTAACTCATTTTACTTAATAGGTAAATTTTTGTTTCTTGGCGCTTTTCTAGT